GATATATCCTATATTTTATCACTTTTACTATCTATTTACTATTCACTTTAATAAAACTTTTTTTGCCAAAAGAGGTAGTTTTCTCGTATATGTAGATTTTAAGGTTTTAACAGGTTAAACTATCAAAAAGATGCAAAAAGGAGCAAAATGAGTGTTATCTATGATACATCTATTTATTCAATCAAATGAACCAACCAAGTCATTATATCTTGAAGATAAAGTATATTCTCAACTTGGACAGAACGTATACGCCAAAAGTTTACTGATGAACGGAGGACTGAATCAACTTGGGATCTAATGAAACTTGGGGTGCGGGTAGCCCTTTGAGTTAGATTTCCAATGGATTTGGAATTACAGTAACTAGAACTGTACTTTGGAAGATAAACTGGAATCACTGAAGACATGTCAAATTGCCTTAGAAATGAAGCAAGTGCATAAACGAGCCAAGCACGGGACCAGCTCGTGGGCCAATGATCCAGACCATTTCCGACACTCATGAAGCCTCATAGAAGACCTCAACACCGGTCACGAAACCCGACCAATGCCATGACCGGTGGTTGAGTAGTTTCGACCGAAAACATATTTTTTCTTTAAATAAACTTTAGCCGAATTAGGACTCCTTCAAACCCTATATATACTTGCTTTTACCCTCTCTAGAAAGTTAAGCAACGGCCAAACAGCTATAAATCAATACCTAAACATGTATTTCATTTTTCTATTGTTCTTAATGTATATTTGATCACAACAAGAAAACACAGTTTTAGCGTCGGCAAAATTCGATACTAAATCGATGCTAAAGGCGTTTAGCGTCGAATAACATTTCGACGCTAAACTGTCGACGCTAAACTAAATTTGACGCTAAGTCGATGCTATATTTCGACGCTAAGTCGACGCTAATTTAGCATCGAATTACCATCGATTTGTTCCGACGCTAATTTAGCATCGATTTAACATCGGTTCCGTCTTATGTTAATGCGAAATCAACGCTAATTTTGCGTCATTTTAGCGTCGACATTGGACGTATTCGATGCTAATTTGATGCTATATAACGTCGATTTAACACCGAATTCTATGAATTTTTTTTTTAAATATTTCTAAATGAAATTTTTTTTAATAAATCCCAAATTTTTTTAAAAATTAGAAAATTTTATATATAAATTCGAAAATGAAAACAGAAATTGTTTAAAAACACTGAAAATACAAACATAAATTTTAATTTTAATGTTCGTCCCTTAGATTAATGTCGTCTCTATATTCATTAATCATAGCTTCGGATTCTTCGTCGAACTGCGTTTGACCTCTAGGTGGAGGTGGCTATGTAGGACGCAGTTTCCGGGAGAGGGCAGCAGCTAAAGTCGGGTTATCCACTGCAATAATGTCAGTCAGACTTGTCAATACCATGAGTTGGCCTTGCATCGTACTGTTAGTTGACCGGATATCCGCTTGTTCCGTCTTTAGCCGCTCAATCTCAGCATTAGCAGTGGTCAATTGCGTTGCCAACTCCGGGTCAGAAGAACTCGGAGTGTAACTATACCGAGCGGTANAAGAA